CCAACGATTTAAAAAATAAAGATGCAGAATCTATTTTTAATTCTATTGTAACAGATTTACAAAAGAAAAACATTGATTTAAATAAAATTCGCTTCGTGTCATTTGACGGTGCTGCAGTCTTCAGTGGAACACATAATGGTGTTGCAGCTAGATTTCGTGATGCATTTAATATAGCAATATTATTTATTTATTTTTTAAATCATTAGTTAATTTTATCAATAGATCATCGGTAAGATTAAGTTTATTTGAAAATATTCAAGATATTTTTAGAAATCAACATATTAAATTGATCCAACCCGGTGATACACGTTGGCTGTCGAACTCTTTAGCTATTCGATCTCTTTTACAATCTTATCAATCATTATTAATAACACTTGAAAATGTTTATAATAAAAACAATGAAGATAGTGCGGAAGCACTAGGTCTCTACAATATTTTATCAAATGAAGGAACTGCATTTATTCTCCATGCACTTCAACCAATAGTAGACACTTTAGCAACGTTATCAAAATCTATTCAAACAAAAGCGGCTGACTTCAAGCAATTACAAGATTTTGTAACATCAGCTCTCCTTCGGCTGGAACAACTTAAAGATTACTGTTCTGATGATTATATTGCTATAATTAAAACTATTCAAAAATTATCATTAACATCTTCTACAAATAGAATTTCAAGATCATCAATAACAAAGGACAAGTGGCGTGAAGACCGTTTTTCCGCCCCCAAAATATTTCGGTTTTTTGTATTGAAAACAAGTCAATGGAGGCCCCTGATGATATTTCAAAGATTTATTTTGGAATATCTTTCAATCGATTTTTCGACTCACACCCGTACTCCCCCACAGGGTTGGCCAAAATCTATTTTTGACACTCCCGTAGGGGAGTACGGATGTGAGTCGAAAAATCGATTGAAAGATATTCCAAAATAAATCTTTGAAATATCATCAGGGGCCTCCATTGACTTGTTTTCAATACAAAAAAACGAAATATTTTGGGGGCGAAAAAACGGTCTTAACGCCACTTGTCCTTTAGAACTAAATGTCAATGAAGTTTTTTCTACAAAAGTTCTTCCATTCATTGAAAATGTTATTAATAATATTCAAGCTCGTTTCGAACATAGTACTCTGAATTTACTCAATTGTTTTACGATATTTGATATGGAAAATTTGAACGATAATAAGGATTATGGTGATGAAGAAATACGTTCTATTCAACAGCATTATGCAAATGACATTGATGAATCAATTATTCATGAATGGAAAACATTTCGTACATATTTATTAGCAAAGTAAAATGGTGGTAAACTTATGATCCAGAGAGAAATTTGTATGAAGCTCGTACAAGATGGTATGTTAAAGGATATTTATCCGCAGTTATCATTAGCTGCAGAAATCTTTCTAGTCGCACCTATCAGTACGGCTACAGTCAAAATGAATTTCTCAACAATGAATCGAATTCTTACAAAATTAAGAAATCAATTAACTATACAACATGTTGATCAATTAATGAGAATTTCCATTGAAGGTGAAGATACTTTAAATGAAGAAATCAAAGAAGAAATAATCAATTACTGGAAAAAACTAAAACCACGTCGATTAGCTGTTTGAGTTATATGATATGGCTTTTCACATTGTTCTTACAGTTTTCTGCCTTTTCTTTTGGTGTACTTATTGCTATTTGTTCTGTGTACATGTTGTACGTATTTTTCAATTAAATGAAATAATGAAGTTGTGCATTCTATAACTTATACAACCCGACCTATTGAAAATGTCCATATTATGACTCAACAACATTTATCGTAGCTACTCGCTTACAAATCTATGTCTGCCCTCCCGACAATTAATTTTGCCCCCCACCCCCACCCAGAAACGAAAAACCTGGATAAAACACTGCTTAAAACGGCATTGTACAAACATAATTTGAAAAAGTAGTTCGAATCCAACGTCTATCTAAAGAGTAATTTATATTTTAGTGAACAGAATTTCGTCAATCCGAGATTGAACGCGTTCAACTCTCGGATCTGAAATTCGCCTAGGTCAATCTGAGATTGGACATTATCTCAGTTTGGACGCTGATAAATATATATATATATATATGTATTCTAATTAATAATTTTCAATAAGATAAATAACTATAATAAATATAATAATGATAAATTAATTTTCAAATACAAAAATCAATCGTCGATAATTAATAATATTAAAATTGTTATTAGTTAAGAATAATCTAAATCATAATTAGTTTTTTGTTTTATAAACAAAAGGATAATAGAATTTATATTAAATAATAAAAATCGATAAACATTTTCGAATGTTTATTTATAATGAATGATCTTTATTATTATTATGAATATTTAAAGTTTCTTTTTTTTTGTTTTATTGTTCACGCGTTTAAATAATCTGAATTTGTTTTTGAAATAAAAATTTATAAATGAGAAATCAATGAGTGATTTATTATTTAATAGATAGATAGATAAGATATAATAAAAGAAAATATATAGAAAAAACTAATCAATAATCATAAGGAATAATATATAGAACTAAATTTATATATGATCTCAATTTTCCACAAGGAAATAAGACGTTGAAAAAACAAACGACATTGGTGTTATTTTCTTCTTAAAAATCTATTAAATCTATATCTTCTGTGAATATAATTTCAATATTTGTTAAAACATAAAAAAATGTTTGAAATTGAAGAAATATAAATCTGAACAATGTTTAAACATTTATTAAAATTGTCAATATATAAATAAATGGATAAGAATTAGTTTTTATTTAAATAGAAAAAACAAAATCTATCAATTAAATATTTAAAATAATAAAATTTGATTATATAATCAAACAAAATATTATATTTTAATCATTAGTAATTAATATAACTATTTTTTATTTTATTCAATATCAATCAGTTATAATATAATTATAATTAAAACAATATTATAGACAACTATATATATATATATATATAATTATATGTTATATTCAAAAACGAATATTAAAATATTTTAATTAATTAACATATATATATATATATATATATATCATTGTTTTATCGTTAATTATGCGATTGATGATTGATAATCGAGAATATAATTCGGTTATTATAGTAGTCAACGACTATTTATATACATCTATAATGAAATTCTTTTTTAACTATTTATTTAATTTTAATTTTAATTTTAATTAAATAGACAATACATTGTTTGATTTAATCGTTTTCCGATAGTTTTTCTAAAGTTATATATTTTTTTGATTATTGAATATAATATTGACTTTTTTTCTTTAATATATATGTATTTCGAAGATTTAATCAATCAATCTACAAACAATTAATTACATCTCGTCTATTTTCAAGTATTTAACGAGAAAAATAATGTTAACAATTTTTTCAATGATAATCATTTGTTTTCATATGACGAATAAACACCATTAAAAACACGAAAATTTTGTAACCATTCACATGTAAGTAAAGTTAGCGACCGATTCGAATTTTTCTTGGGACGATTCGCACAACTGAGTGTGCCAATATCGGAATATAGTATGCCAGATAGAGATCGTCGAGCTCTATCTAATGGCATAACTATATTCCCATGAAAAATAAAGCGAAAAAATCCATGCGAAAACAATATTTTTCACCATGGGACAAAATAAAAACAATGAGTTTTCCCCGGATATATTCGATTCAGTATGCGTGCCACTATTGAAAATTACTTCATCCAAAGCAGTTTGACGAGCTTTATCCAAATATCACAATTACATTCGATTTCGAAAGCATCAAAAACCACTTTAGCCTTTATCAATCTCCCATAACCCGATTTTCACAGGTACTCCAGAGATCGATTCACTCTAGTACGTGTGCCACATCAGAAAACGTTTGAAATCGACAAAACTCAATGAGCTCTATCGATTGGTATGCATTTTAACAGTATCATGTGCTGAATGAAGCTGGTAGCATATCCAGGATCTCGGGCAGATCATACCAAGTAGAATCTTGCACTACAAAGCATTCCAACACAATGTAAGCCGAATAAAATCATACAAAACGACACGTCACCAAGAGTTTTGCGTACTGGTGCAGTTTTCTTCAAACTAATTGCCCATCCACCAGTCTATAATACCAGAAAAGTATAAGTTATGAAATCTGCACCAAATGCCACATTCCCAATATCTTCATCTACACCTGTAGCATCTAGGAAACCTACCTCATTCGACTCCACTCAATTAGATCTATCGTTTGGTCATAATACAACTCACCTGGTTCACGATCGGGAGGGCTGGCAGCTCCATAACTAAATTTTGAAGATCCCTATCTGGTTCTTCCTTGGATCAATTCAAGTTAGAGCATGTGCCACCATTGAAACATACCTCAATCGATTGCTCTTGAATAGTTGTATCGGTTGGAATATAATATAACGCACCTGGTTCAATATGCGGAGGGCTGGCGAATCTAGAATTAGCCTTCGCAGATTTTTGTCTCGCTCTTCCTTGGATCAGCTCAACTGAGGACCTGTGCTATTGTTAAAACCTACATCAATCGGTTGCTCTCGAATAGATCTATCGATCGATTTAAAATAGAACCCAAATGGTTCAAGATGGGAACGGGTGAAAGATCTAGAATTACACTACGGAGATTTCTGGTTGGTTCTTGCTTGGATCAAGTCAACTCAGACAATATGTCACCATTGAAGCATACTTCATTCAATTGCTCTCGAATAGATCTATCAGTTGATCTAAAATCGAATCCATCTGGCTCAAGATAAGAAACCGCTGTAGGATCTAGAATTAGACTTCTGAGATTTCTCGCTGTTTGTTGCTTGGATCAATTCAATTACGGAGATATGCCACCGTTGAAATATAGCTCCATGGTTTACTCGTGAATAGATTTATCGACTGATATAAATCACTAATGTCACACATTATTTATACCACATTTCCCAAGTCTATCAATTAGAACAGTTCACAAAAACCACTCTCTTAACAGTCATCGGACACACTACCAACAAATGTATTATCCACTAATCGCCTTCCCGATTAAAACGCTTGCCAAACTCATTTATACCACTACCTTGAAGTATCCTTCCACAATGACATATCTCGTCACGTGCAAAAACTTCGCCCAATTCGCAAAAACAAACCTCCGCAATTCGATTCTAGGTCCTGCAGTCGTCCCCGTCTCCAAACTGATGAATCATTATATATATCATTCAACGGATCTGACGAAAAATAACTGATTGAGGCATGTTTCCGTCGTGGCACATCTCGACAGCTGAACAAATCCAAGCAAGAAAACAGAGAAATCTACGAAGTCTAATTCTAGATTCTCCAGCCCTTCCAATCTTGAGCCACATGAGTTCTATTTTAGATCAATCGATAGATCTATTTTAGATCAATCGATAGATCTATTTGAGAGCGATCGATTGATGTATCTTTCAGCAGTGGCACAGGTCCGCAGACGAACTGATCCAAACAAGAGCCAGATA